ATTTGCATATATGGAACACCTACAGATGTACCAACACTTTGGAATAAATATAAAGACGCCATGATTGAAGATTATGTACACAGAAATATGGATAATCCAAAAAATATAGCTATGAATTGTATCGATGAAATTATGAGAAATAATGGAATTAGCTGTGTAAACTTCAAATTGCCAAAACCAAAGCCAGTGAAAATTACTAAAATAGAATATGATTTAGATAAGGAAAGAAGTAGAGGAGAAGATTTATTGTTGACATTAAATGCAGAGCAAAAGCACGTGTACGATTTAGTAATGCGAGCAATTGAAAATAAGAATGAAGTCAAAAGGTTATTTTTTATAGACGGATTTGCAGGAAGTGGAAAAACATACCTGTTTAATACATTATTAAGTATAATTAGAGGAAGAAAAGAGGTGGTTTTACCATGTGCGTCAACAGGCATAGCAGCAACACTTTTAAAGGGAGAAAGAACATATCATAGTCTGTTCAAACTAACAATACCAATAGATGAGACAACGAAATCAAATATCAGAGGAAACACGCAGGAAGCAAGAGAATTAATCTCTGCGAAATTAATAATATGGGATGAAGTGAGCATGACTGTAGGACAAGCTCTAACAGCAGTCGATAAATTATTAAGAGATTTGATGAGGAATACAAAACCATTTGGAGCAAAAGTAATTCTTTTTGCAGGAGACTTCAGACAAAATTTACCTGTAGTGGCTCATGCAAACAGAACAGCTATAATTGAGTCAACTGTAAAACACAATCCAATATGGAAGAAAGTAATTCAAATTAAACTTAAGGAAAATATGAGAACAGGGGAGGAAAGAGAATTTGGAAATTGGCTAATGGAATTAGGAGAGGGTAACTTGACGAATACAGATGGACTACAACAAGATACAATAGAAATTCCAGACGAATTTTTATGTAAAAGATCACTAATTACAGAGATTTTTGAAGAAAAAATAACTATGAAAAAAATAATGGAAAATCCAGATAGAGCGATCCTTTGTCCAAAAAATGAGGACACGTTTAAAATTAATGACAACATTTTAGATTTAATGGAAGGAGAAAAAAAAATATCTATCCATTGACTCTATTGAGAGT